TAGCGTACGTGAAATTTCGTGGCACCCAGACAAAGGGTGCCCCGTTACAACTGGCAGCACTTTGTAGTCCGTTCAACGACTACTCAGTGTCCGTCTAACATGTTCATGTTGAACGTACAAGCCGACAGATTTCACGTCACACGTGAATGATACTCCCATCTGAGTGACTCAGAATGGTAGGTAGTCGGCCGCACGAGGGTGCTCATGGGCGAACCCTCCATCAGTGGCGTGTTGAAGTCTCTAAGCAGAGACCAGCAACATGCTGCTATCAACAAGTTCCTCAAAGGGGAACTTTCCGTCGAATTTCAGAAGATAGCCTTGCTACAACAGCAAGGCTCTCATCAGTCTATGGGCGGGTCGACGCACATGCGTCAACCCGAAACCTTGAAGATTGATGTCTCAAGGTTAAAGGAACCGATAGAGATTCCCTTTTGAGATGGCTCGTCGAGTTAGACGATGCCAGCAGGGCTCGTCACATCGAGGGTGATGAAGTGCAGGTCAACTTCGCCCTGTCAAATTTGACAGGACGAGTGAAGACTTGGGCTTTAGGGCTCAAGCTTCACGACTCCAAACGTGTTTGAGTAGTTGGAGAACTTGAAGTATCGGCTTAAAGAGACGTTTGAGCCGCCAAGAGCCGAGTTCAGAGCACGCCTTTCACTCTTGACGCTAAATCAAGGTAAGCTTGACGTGCACACTTACGCACAGCACCTGCGCTACCTTGCGAGTAGCGTTACGGAAAACCCTGTTGATGAGAAAACAATCATCATTGTGTTCATCTACGGCCTTGTAAATGGACCGGTGAAGACCTACATGTTCCAAGAGGATTTCCATGCGCTAAAAGAGGTGATAGCGTATGCTGAACAAGAAGACTCCAGCCTAAGACAGTCTCAGGCTGACTCGTCCAACTATCGTCCGACGAGACGACCGGAAACAAGAAGTTCCGAACCGATGGACATATGTTACATCGAGAGCGAGAACTCTCGCTCTCTGAGTCACAAGCGAACGGCATGATGCCATCTCTGTCAGAAGATTGGACACTACAACTATGAGTGTAGTGTCCCTAGCACTGCAACACGTCCGAAGACAGGACGTGATGACCGCCTTTGGCCAAGAAAGTGTCCGAGGCGTGGGTCCGACCATGTCGCTAAGCCGCAACAACAAGTCGAACCGTCAAAAAAACGGTCAGGGTCAGTAGGGGCGGAGCACCCTGCTGATCCAGCAACGTCAAGAGAATTTGCAGAACTCTTGACGAAGATTGCTCTCAGCACAAAATCGCTGTGTGTTACTAGACCTAGTGATGAGGAGTCTTTCATAACTTTGAAGATCGAAGTGACAAGTGGAATGTCACTATGTGCCCTAGTTGACTGTGGTGCGTCAAACAGTTTAATTCGACTCCAGTCGCTAGAGGATGGTAGGCTCAACTATGTTGAGCGAGAGCTCCCTCCAACGAGGATGACGGTGTGCCTTGCTACAGGCGCATCTGTAACAGTGAACAAACGTGTAGTGGGAATCCACTACACGCTAGAAAGAAAGCAGTATGATGATGACTTCATCGTACTGGATTTGGGTGACTAATTAGATGTCATCCTCAGTTTACCATGGCTTAAAAAGAACCGGCCACGGGTTAGCTGGCAGCATCGATACGTAAAGATGCCTGCCGTTTGTTCATCAGATGGCCATCTGATAAACGTCTTGGAGCGTCCACAAGAGTGTGGATGTACTACGAGTGAGTGCAATGGCCTCACTCGTGGTACGGTCGTTAGAATGACTGCAAAAGATCACAGTGTAGAAGGCCACTACACTGTGGAACCAGCTTCCGGAATCTGTGTGGAGACACAAGCTGCGCCGCAGGTTCACCACTCGAAGAGATCGAGTGGACTAGAACACGGATGCACACCAAGAAGGGTGCATCCGAGAAGAGAGGTTAACGTTGTTCATGATGAACAACACGTTGAAGAGAGATTGAATATCAGAGAGTTGGTCGTAAAGCAAGCCCTATCGACTAAAAGAGATTCGATCGAAGAGGACGTGACTGTGGTAGTACACCCACAGTCAGTTGACGTAGTAGAAGAAAGTTCCAGTGTTCCTCAGAGTGATAACTCTCGAGGATTCTATGTGAAGGGTATTTTTCTCCAACAACCTGCGGATGTTTTCTTCCCAGGAAAGCACCGAGACAGTAAATGTCTTGGTTAATGACGGATCAAATGTAGGCGCTTATACACTTGATCTGGTTACACCTCCGAAGGCAGCTTCGGAGGTGGTCAGGTTGCCAACGCTCAAATCTAAAAAGATTCTTGCGAGATCTGCGTAGTGACAAGTTCAATCAGATCTGCGTACTCGTCACAGAGAACGAGTACGACACCGATATTTGGTCGGCACAAGTGTTTGCTGAGAACGAACGAGTTCTCAGTAGCTCGTCGATGGATGAGAGTGTCCTCGATGAGAAGACCCGGATTGAACGGTACACGTCTCAATCTTGGGAGTCTTTGAAGACAAATCTTTTGCATTAGTATAAAATTGAATTCAGACATGTTTTACCTGAATCCGTACCGTGCGAGCTGCTTAAGGACAAAGGCACTCGGCACGAGATCGAACTGAAACCCGCTTCGAAGTACCGTGTCGTGAAGAAATGGCCACTGCCTCGTGAACAGGTCACAGCAATCGACAAATTCTTTGCAGATCGTTTATCGGCTGGTCGTGTGATAGAACCAACATCCCCACACAGCTCTCCAACCTTCTGTGTGCGAAAAGCAACAGAAGGGTGGCGGATAGTGCACACATTAAACTTACTGAACGCTACAATGGCACCTGCTCAAACGCCGATACCAAGGAAGGACGTAATCAATGATGAAAATGTCAAAGAGTACCATCTTTTCGTCCATGAATCTGATGGATGGATTCTACCAGATCCTCAGATGTGATGGGGATATCTTGTACACAGCAGTAAGCACCCCCAGTGGTATGCTCTGGGATTGGCTAGTGATGCCACAGGGGCCAAGTAACACTGCTGCCACTTTCAACAAATGTGTTACGAATCTGTTGCGATCGGTGCGCGACTTTGCACTGAGTTATTTAGACGTTGTCTTCTTTCATAGCCGGGCTATGTATGGAAAGACGGACGTGGATGTTCATGTAATCCACGTCCGGAAGGTTCTTGCACTAATGCGAGAGCATAAGTTGTTCGCGAACCTCAAGAAGTGTATATTCGCAGCGAGCGAAATACCACTTCTTGGCTGCATCGTGGTTCCAAAACGGTGTACGCTCTTATCCGGAAAAGGTCGAGGCGATTAGCTACTGGCCTGTGCCAGTCGACGTCAAGAGACTTCGAAATTTCCTTGGCTTGGCGGCGTGCTTGCGCAAGTACTCGCGCAACTACGCCGCTACGACCGTACATCTCTATCGTCTGCTAAAGAAAAACGAGAGGAGGTCATGGAGTGCTGAGTGTCAGCACTCTTTTAAAGGTATCAAGAAAAGCTTGGTGCAATCGCCTGTGTTGGCGATTGCAGACCAGGATAGACCATTCCATGTGGTCTGTGACGCCAGCGATTCTGCAATCGGCTTCGCTTGAATGCAGAACGACTAAGATGGCGTTAAGCGCGTCGTCTGTTATCAATCGCGTCAGCCGCAAGCAGCTGAGCGTCTTTACCCGGTGATGACAAGGAGCTCCTTGCCATAAAATTTGAAACGGCTAAGTTTCGGGTATATCGATTAGGCCATAGACTCTTTATCGTTTACACCGACCATGCTTCATAACGCACGGCGGTAAACAGTCCACACCTTTCGCATCGAATGGCGAGGTGAGCGTCTTATTTCGCGAAGTAAAACTTATCCGTCGAGTTTAAACCAGGACAACTTAATGTTGGCGCTGGTGCTCTTTCGCGTCGGCCCGTTTTGAGACGGCTGCTCAACACATCTGTAGGGGTGATCCCACGTAGCGACACTAACGGTGAGACTTCCGTCGTCGAATCTGCTCGACGACGTGCGGAAAGCATACGCAGAAGGTGAGTCTCCTCTGCGATTGATGGCTCACGTATCCAACCCATACAGTCAAGCTTTGAATAGCGTTTCAGTACCGTATTCGATTTGTGATGAACTGCTGTACTGTACGACAGTCAACGGTGACGCACCTCGTGTCGTCGTTCCCGCTCATAACGATTTGCGATTGCGCATCAATTGTGAGTGTCACGATGCCCCACCATAGTGATATGCGATTGCGCATCAATTATGAGTGTCACGATGCCCCACCCCAAGTGAGTATCGCGGTAGGGAAAAGACATACCCCACGGTTAGCCGTGACTTCTACTGGCCCCACCATTATAAGTTTGTGCGGAAAAACATTCGCGCTTGAGAAGTTTGTCAACGGGTGAAGCCTAGTCCTTCATTCCGCTCACCCTTGCAGCCTCTACCGATTCCGGCAGAGTGTTGGCATTCCGTATCGATGGACTTCGTCTTTGGGTTTCCTAAAGACGTTTACAAGAATACTGGAACTCTTGTGTTCGTCGATCGGTTTAGCAAGATGGTACATCTTGTTGCTGTACCGGAGTCAATCACAGCCCAGGGCTGTGCTCATGTCTTTATCGATACTATCTTCCAACTTCACGTCTTACCCCGTGAATTCGTGTCGGATGGGGACCCCCGATTCACAGCGAGGTTCTGGCAATCCGTGTTCCGTTTACTTGGAACGCGCTTGAAGATGTAGACTTCTGACCATCCCAAAACAGATGGTCAGACGGAACGCGTCAACCGCTTCCTCGAAGAGGTACTTCGAAGGTAAGTTCACTCGTTTACGAGTTGGAGAGAATTCTTGCAGATGGCGGAATTCGCCATCAGCAACTCGGTGCATGCGTTGACAATGCATACACCGTTCTTCGTGAATGGCGTACGCTATCCACGTTTACCCGCCTTCTTAGAGTGTGACTCTAGTTTAAGGGGGGGTGGACTCGCTCAAACAAAAAATGGTCTGGTTCTTGCTCATCACCCGTCGAAAAAGTTTCGACGTGATGGATGCCGATATCGATGCGATCAATTTCGATGATGACGATGACGACGATGCTGGTATGTTCAGCATCGCCAATGACTTCCAAAGTGAGGACGATGACACCCTAACTGGTGAAGACAACGTCCTTTCAGCAGTGCACACGAAGCGCACTGCTCTTGACAAGAATGAAAAAGCAGAGGAGTTTCTGCTGAATCGCGAAGCGGTTGTCCGCTTCATTCAAGACTCCGTTGCAGATGCAATAGACAAGCAGAAATGAAATGCAGACAAACACGGTAGAGCAAATGTTCTTTCATTTGATGATGAAGACCTAGTTTTTACTTTCTACAGTAAACCTATAGAAACACGCAGTGACAAACGTGTGCAGCAGTCCATTGCTTCCCAAGTGCAACGGTCCATTTCGTGTGTTGCGCCGAATGGGCAACGCATATGCGATTGAACTGCCCCGTAAGATGCGTACACATCCCAATTTTCCGCTGGAAGACTCCGCCCGTACTATCAGTACGATCTCGTTTCGAGATGCGAAGCACACCTCCGCAGTTGAGAGCCGAGACCACCTATGAGTGGTCCCGTTTCATGGAACCAGTCTGGTCGACTAGCGAAGCGACCTGTTCACGCAGCTCAGCGATGTCTTGACGAGCTGCACTCAGCTCGACATGAAGAGAACGAGTCAAATGTTCGTTCTCAAGTTGCGCGAACACAAACGCGGCACGATCGTTCGAACTTTCGTGCAATTAGAAAATTAAATTACTCCTTACAAGGTCCTGAAGCCCATAACGCCGAGTCCCTTTTTTGAGCCAGGTCATTTTGCAACTGTTCCGTTAGACGGTTCAGCTCTTGAACATCAAGTTTATCCGAACCTCGAGCCGAATCAGGTTTTCCCGCCACCACCACATCCTTTTGTGGATTCGGGCGATGGTCGCCGCTTTTTAATGGAGCGTAATTCGAACCACCGCGACATGAACAGCGTTTGGACGAGTTACCTCGTCCGAGCGTGACTATCCATCGTCCTGGGACAGCTGGAAGCCTCGCGCCCAGCTGATTGTTGATGTCCTGGGTTGCGTCGAGCAGTACGACGAGACCCACCCGCCGCGTTCGAAAAAGGGCCGTCGGAAAACGACCTCCCCGAACGTGAGTACTGGAATTGCAAAGTTTCAATCCTTTCGGCCATCTCAGAAGAGATGCGCGCCCTCCAGTAGGGATCATCAGGGAGGAAGTCCTACCTAAGACCACGGTTCGAGTTATCCAGGCCACCTGTACACGAATCACGACACGAGATACAGGGTAATCATTCCTCTCTTGATAGCCGGGGCATTTTGGATTGCACCCGTCCGGGTTGCGCTTCTAAAACCTGATGCGAGATGCATCAAGTCTACCGAGCCAGGCCTCACGGTCAACGCACTCGATGTTGTGGATGAGGGCATTCCATCCTTGCAACAAGGCTTTGGTGTCTCGAACACGGCTACCATTGTATCAACGATGTTTGAAAGGTGCATTGGTGGAGAATTCTTCCTCAGTACGGATAGCTTCCGAGCTGAAATCAGGTGAACAAATCTTCCTACAATCGAACAACGGGGTTCGATCTCGATCGGTAGTCATGCCGGCCAACAAATCCGACTCTCTGGATGGCGGCACCCACGGAGACACCACTTGAAGAGCGTGTCGCAGGACATTTCGGTCCCTGATCTCTTGATTGGTTCCATCATGAGCACTCACACCATTGTTACCCCGATCCCTTGAATCACTTCGCTCGTGGTGATGTATAGGTGCATCACCACCATCCCCACGCATCCTATCGCTGGATGGACTCGCGTGAGGCGAGGATTTGTCGGAACAATCGCTCGATCCGAAGATCTCGGACATGATGCCGCCACGTTGACCAGAGCCAGTCAACCTGCCTCTTGCAGTGTCCACCCCGGGTGATCCGGAGGCGTGTGGTTTCGCCTTCGAGTCGAATACATATCCGACTCGCCAGAGTAGATGGGCTCTATTTCCGACTCATCGATATAACGATTCGCGGTACCCGCTGCAGACGCAGCAAATGTACCTGTCGCACGTGTTGACTCACGACGTGGACTGTTCACAGCAATCGACGACGAATCACCTGCTGCTGAGGCGTGAGAAGTACTCTCTACGGCTTCACGCATGCGTGCAGCAGACTTCCTGCTGCAGTAGCAACTCGCATAGGTTTCAAAACCATGCGTTGGATTGGAAAATGAATGGAATTTGACCAACAAGTGGTTTCTATCCAGAGTAATCCAACGGTGATGTCCCTGTCCCAGTCAATTCTATTTCAATCAACGGGTGATTAATAGTTAAGGGGGGTGATGTAACGGGGTGGCCCGTTACATGATAGTGACACCAAACGGTGGCAATAGGTAAATTGTCTAGCATGACAATATTCTACCGATATTATCCGAGATGGATAGTGTTGAAGGAACATTATTCCCTTTGTAGGATAATATTCATGCGGTGCTCAAAGATTGCTTGATGTAAGACATATCAACAATAGATTACCACCAATCGCTGCTAGACGCGTAATGTGTGGTGGGCAGGTTGTCGTCATACGTCAGTCTAGATTAAAATAGTTAGATAAAGATTAAAGTTATATTGATAGCTTATCCACATGAATTACAGTTATCTTTTGCCCCTTTACTCAGCTTAGTCGCTGAGTAAATTAGCTTCCTCTGCACGTACTGGTGTACGTGAAGTTTCGTTCCCCAAACAAAGGGTGCTTTGTTACAGTATAAGTCTATCAAAAAAGGTGGTGAGCGAACAGCGCTCCGTTGAGTATATAAAGTGTTGAAAGATTTACCATGACGTTGGGCTTTTTTTAACTCTTAGCACAGCCAGGCGCAAGGTTAGTGTATATGATACACTCACTTTTTAATCTACTCGGATTCTGTATTCTAATTAAGTTGCATTCGCATAGGAGACCTTCAGCAAAATGCAGCGTCTACATCATCGCTGCTGTGTATCTGAATGCTAGAGGCGGCTTGCATAAAAAAGTTTGTATGATCAAGTTTTGCGCTAGAAAGCCACTGTGTACCTGTCATTTTTACGATCACGAGATATCACAAGCGCCAGCTTTTGCCAAGAAATCTAAAAGCATAGGCAAGAATTTAAATGGCTAATGTGCGTGTTAGTTAAATGGGACTACAACATGACCGCGATTGTTAGGGGTGCAATTGTGGATTTAGTTGTGATAATAGCAAATAGGTGTGGTAAATTAAGCGATCCCCTTTTTTAGGCGAGGGATTCTTTGCCAAGGGTGTGGGTGGCGATATAACGCTGCCAACCTAATAGAAGTCTGTAGGTTGGGGTTGGTTCGTTAAGCAATGTTTATACCGTACTTCACTATACCTTTAACGGGCAAATTTGACACGAATAATCGATACCTGTCGTGAGCCACAGCTTCACATTGCAGGCATCATTATTACATCACTTTGCGAGCAACTTTATCACTCGTACGTATTCGTGAGGTGGGGAACAAGCCATGTGTGTCAGCTAATATATACAAGATACAGCGCAAAGCAAGTTTTAACCAAAAACAAGATAACGATACCTTTCGTGGTCATCTGAACGTTTCCGATACTTCTGACTCATTTTGCTGCTCCACTGACACACGACTCAAACTATTCTGCCCCTTAACTTTTACGGGAACAATCATGTGACGGATCTGTGACGTCCACAACAAAAAGCGTCAAATAGGGTTTGCATGCAAGACCCATCCATGCATTTGACACCGATAGCTACAAATAATTAACATATAACACGAGTAGTCAACATTCCACCATTCACGACAACTCTTCACAGTCATCCGTTCTGCGACATAACCGATCGCCATTTATGCGACATAATCTCAGGCCCAACGTGCGCTCCATTCGACTCGAACACGGCCTAGCAACTTTGCGAATGTCTGCCGTCCTCAGCCGATGACGGCAGGAACACCAAGTCGACAACGCGGGCCACCCTTTAGAGCAAATAATAGCGAAGACAATAACGGGCGATAGGCTCGTACACATGACAACAAATACGTGCCACTGACCTTCTTGTCCCATCGGCCATCCCTGGTATACATTTGTTCAATCGCAAAAAAGGGACAGCATCCTCGCACGCTGCGACCCATACATCTTCATGGGCGATACACATCGTCATCCTCACGTTGTAGCCATGCTGTCCACGGGCATGACTTCATCGTTATTTACATCACGTCGTTGACACAAGTTTGCACTCTCAGAGCGCCACCTCCTCTTTCTCCTCCTCTTCTTCCCCAGCAGAACCAAGAGAACAGCGACATGCCTGGACACGGGACTCGATCCGGGGGGAATGGGGTACCATCACATACACCGACTCCTCGTCTGAATCCTTCGATACATCTGACGTTCGAAACAGTGCTGCCAAGAATAAGCTGTTGCTGGTTTCATCCACGCGGTCATTGATCTGCACGGCGTGGACGTCAAATGGTACAGCGAGCGTCGGCGTAACTTCGATCAGTGACTCCCTGCTATTCGCACGAGCAGCAGCAGCCATTCCGCTTTGACTCTGGTGATACGCCTCTTTAATCTGTGCCAGCTTGCGATGCAATCGATCATCTTCCCTATCGCTGCGTTTGACGTCCTCACGCCAAGACGCCAGACGCAGCGACATGCGCGAACGCCGCGCCTGGTACATCCGGTAGGCTCCGTTGATACCCAAGCGATCTCCTTGTGGGGGGTCCTCCAACTCCCTCAATGTCCGAAGATCGGCTTCATCGTAGCGAACGCGCCGCGGACAACGGACACTGCAGCCCCTGGATGAGAACATGCTCCGTAACCGCTCACGGAACACCACGTTTTTCCAAAGCATGAGGAGGAAGGGCAAGATGCCAATCACGACGAGGGCCGCAAAAATTACGTACTGTAGCAGGTCGCGCGTGCCGCTGCTAGTGCCGTCGTTCTTCATGACTCGTTGCGATCGTGATAAGCTGCTGGCTTGATGGGTAGCGATGAATTTCGGAAATAGCTCCTTTACCCACTGGCACCCATTGTGTAACGTTAAATTCTCTTGCTCTCTTCTGCCAGTGATATTATGGATGTAAGGATATAGAGACGAAACTTACTGGAGGGATTATGAGAGCAGTTGCTCCTAAGAAGCTCAAGCTGAACGCAAGTCTTTTTTTGTGTTAGCACGCGATTTTTTGCGCTTGAACCATAATTCAGTCCGACATTGAATTTTTAAGCATACATGCCAGGCCTTTGAGGACTTCTGGTCCGAAGGCGGGCGCCTCGACAGTGGCTTCGCAAGGTTGTAGCAGCTACATTCGCTGCTCAGACCATATCTACTAGGCACAGCACTTGTTAGGCGATGCCAGACTACCCAGAGGAGTGGCAAGTTCGACGAAATTGCGCGACGGGACGTAGTGGTGAGAGAAATGATAGAACAACTCAAATATCGCTTAACAGATTGGTAAAGCAGCAAGTACGCGCGAAACAAAAGGGTGAAGCCTTTGTCCAATTCTTGCCATCTTTTCATCTCACATGCATCCGAACAGCAGGAGTGACCGGTTTCCATAGATTGGTATGTCAAAAGGTTCGCTGTGGCCAAATATGTCACTAGATAAGCCCTAGTTGGCGCTTGTCTATTTCGGTAGATCTTGTAAGCTGACAATTTCTTGGACAATAAAGATTTATGCCATAGCGATACAATTCAAAAGAGACATGCACCTCGTAAATTGTCAGTGTCGAGGTCTGCGCCAACTTCAAGGGTTCACACGCAGATGCGTGGCAGATAAACTTTAGCGGTTTGGAGAGGTGTGGTATAGAGCCCACCAACCTTGTCAAAAAGTGACTATTTTGACAGCTAGGTGATTGTAGCCTCTTCCGTGCCGTCACCGAGCGACTATGTGTTTCGTAAATATGCATCATTCAGCTTAACTTTTTTGCGAAAACGTTGAACAAAGTCGCGAAACCAGCAAAAGGTTGGGGTCAGTCTGATCTGGTGCCTTCATTCTACAGATGGTTTTTTTTTGGAGCGAACAGCTATGTACGGTCTATACTCCTTATAATAGTCAAAAGGATGAGTCAACTTTATAATAATGGCAGACTTCTGGTCCCTGGCGTTTCCTGCGACTTTAGCGCCCTGTCTGTACCCCGGACTGGATATCTAATTCCACGTGCCATCTGCGAAGTGTACCCCGTGATGACCAATGAGCCGAGCCAAGCAGACTAAGTCAGCGAGACGAAGATGATGTAGTTCAGGCAGCAGCACACTGATATCGTACAGGGCATGAGCACTTTAATCGACGTTCAGGATAAACTGTATCGGCAGAGACTCTCTACGAACTTATAGACGGATCTGATGTCGCACTATGGCTTGCATCGTCTGCGTATCAGGTTCAAGCACCCTATTGCGATGAAAGTTGTCGTGTTTGCAGCAAATAAGGCGGCCCCGAGCAGCGTCTGATTGACCATCTACGACTTCAGATCCGTTCATCCGATACATCGATGTGGAGCTGACTGCTTTAGGTGGACGAAAATAGTGTCGCGTACGCAATGGCCAGATATTCGCCTGTCAACCGTGGCAGTGGAGTCGAGTGGGGTCGTCTTACCATTGGAACACGGCGATTAGTAGTGTCGAGAGCTACAGTGACTTCCGCTGGCTTACAGAGGTGACAGTAAAAGTTAGTGTGTGACACGCGACCTATCCCCTCCATGGATTCTATTTCACGTACCGAAGTATACACATAGCGATGTGTGCCGATCGGAGTTAATAATAAAGCCATGTGTCTCCGATATATTTAATTCTATGAGTGAATAATCTCACTCACCTAATTAAAATGTCGAGCTCGATGTTTGGCCCAGACCGAATATTAAAAACAATTCCTTATTTTTTATAGGTAATGGAAAAATTTCCGTAATAAAAAATTTACACTACTACAACTGCCATAGGACCGCTACAAAACAGTAGATAACGCCAAATAGCCACCACCTTCTTTTTAATTTAGCCACCACTCTTTCGTTATTCAGCTAACACCCACAAATTATTTTTATAAGTTTTTTTTTATTTCAAAAATAATTGTTTATGTTGGACAAAAGGTGGACTGGGAGTTTTCGAGCTCAAATATGCGTTTAATCACACACATGTCCGCATTTTCTATGCTGTCACCTAAAATCAAAACCAAATTTGCTTATTCGTTGCTGACTACATTATATAGTCTTGAGCTACCGCCCAGATTGCGCACGATAGACGGAGGAAGTAAAGGCAGCAATTAAAACCAATACACAACAACGAAGCTACGTCATAGTAGCCTAAAGAATATAAAGGATAGGCAATACAAATATGGTGCCGTACAAAATGATTATGTTCTTCTCCTATTCAAACCCCTAAGCGATACGAAAACGACCTCACTGACGTGCTTCGACCAGGCGTAGCACAAGGTGTTTGGTCCGGGACAGGAAAGCTCAATAATTCCGTCTCGTTTAGCGTCAACTACAATTTATAAATTTGACAAATTAAAATGATGACAATTCCAACTTTGTTCTTCAACTTGTGATGCCGAGCATTTGTCGTGAACTAGCACATCCCAGCACGATGCTCTTGATCTCATTTAAGGACCGCTTGCCTACCTTCGTAGATAGCGGTCAGTTTATTAATGTGTTTGGTTCATTCATAGTAGTTTTATGTGCCCACGCAGAAGAACTAGCGAGAGCAGCACGCTTACTCGTCTAGAAGGACCTTGCCATATCCTTCTTGCTCGCCTAATATCCGCAGAATGAGCAACATTAGTTTATAAAAGTTGTTGCCACCAATGTAGATGAAACGCAACCCGTCCGTCTAGTTTATTAGCACCCAGCTTCATACATTTCACACAAAACTCAATGTCTTTTACAACGTTGTGTGTTTGAGCGACCAATTGAGTGCTTGTATTACAAAATTAATACATACACACATTAATTATTTGAAAGTAGTGGCTAGTTACCGAAAGGCTGGTGGCTGAATAAAACACCTCAAAAAAATTCAGAGTTTGTTGCTAAAGGAATTTTGCTGAAGGTTTCCCACCTGATATTGCATCTTCTAAATTATCCTTGAGGATTCCTCTCCAGCGTCCTGCTGTAACTAGAAGGCTTTAAGCTCTGAAAGCTTGAATGCAGCGTTCTGGAGAAAGACGGCGGTATGCTCACGCTGTCGTCCTCCTTGCTATCACGTGTAGCACCCATCACTTCGATTCTATCCCCAAAATCTCTTCTATTTGATATTTGCCTTACATTGTAAAAAATTGACGGCCCCAGCCATGTAAAACAATAGATCGATGCAAACTTTGCAAAACCAGAACTCGCCGCGAAACCAAGACCAATAAAAAAAAAGATATAGGGTACTACTGTTTTTACTGTAGCATTTGTTAGAAATTTGCGTTATTGGTACCGGGTCTTTGTCATAATTATTACCTCACGTACTACTCCTTAAATCGCCGTGCACAGAGCAGAAATTTGACGGAGGACCCGGGCTAGTGCTACCTAGACCGTCAAAGAGGACAGTATCACCAGTGTCCAAGCAAGGGAAATTATCATCATGGCCTTGGCCCCGGGCAAAACCGGCGCAAGAGTATCGCTGGGGGAACCGGTCTCTCCAATCCCTGATGGGTATGGGCGGCATGTGGCGCCCAGCAACCTACAGGAGGTGGAAACAGGCTATAAGCCTGTCTTGTAACACCTATGTGAACCATACTTGCTTTTGCGACCCTCAGATACTGTTACACAAGGTAACGGTTTCATCAGTGAGGGGTGTTTCAGTGCAGCTTCGGGTGGGGGCAGCTCGCAACTCAAGCTCAGCACGGATCCTGTTGCCTCTTAGGCGGTCTATGTTCCAGGTTGGGCCCGTACCGATCACGACCCCGCTGTGCAGTACGCCCAAACGGATATTTAAGTCACAAAGGAGCAGCAGGGTGGTCGTAGCATTACCGAGGCGGTGCTTTTGTCGCTAGGCGACTCCTTGGCCTCTGCGGATTGACAGCCAGAAGGTCAGTCAGCTCCGTGGTCTGAAGATCAAGCACGGCAGGTGCGAGGAGAACCTACTAAAGGGTCGGAGTCGGTGGAGGACACCGAGAGAAAACGGTTTCTTCTCTTCCACAAGACGAATTACAGGATATACGACTTCAATAGCATCTAATAGTGAGAGCAGAGGCGACGTTCACAGCGGTTGAGGCGGAATTGATTGTAGCCCCGGAGGCAGAACAACGTGAAGCGTGAAAGGGAACGGTTGCTGAATTGTCTACAGCCGAGTTTGTGACCGTAAGAATTATTCCTGACCGAGTCCCATCGGCTAAGAAACAGTATAGTAAGCTGAAGGGAATTGATTTCGCACTATTCCTCAGTTTTTTAAGGAAGTCAGAGTGGTTGGCATCTGTACCTACGAGCAATGGTGCAAGCTTGCGCGCGCCATCAGCAGGGACTTATACAAAATCACATGATCTATATCGACTATCCTGGACAGCATGACGAGCAAAGTCAAGTGGGCACGAAAGCCAGTCATGAACGAGTGGGCGGAAAGTGACCGGTCATCCTAGGGCAGACATTTCTTTCGGGCGGCAGCCGTCCTGGGAACAAAACCAGCAATTTGTGTTTAATCCGGCTAAACACCAGGTGGAGGCGATAGAAATGCTACGTATCTTTGTGCAGCGCACTATAGAAACTAGTCGGGGACTCGGCCTATAAGAGGATACGAATGAATAGTGGGAGATTATCCAGGGGATGGAAGATGGCCACATTGTAAGCCGGTTATGCCCTAAATGTTTCGAAAAATGTTTTGAGCACTAAGGATCGGTTCCGCTTATAACCTACGATCCATGACACAAGTCGAAGGGGAAGTATCGATTTCCTTAATGTGGATATGGACCAATACCGGCAAGCAGGCAGCACACCCAAGCCTTATAAGCGGACATGCTGTTGGCTGCGGAAGGTTTAAAA